GGTAAAGTGCCTCCCTCGGCAAGCAGCGTTGCCCGGACTGCCAATGTACTCCCAGCCGGCATCGGAGGGCAGAGATCGAGCACATCTGCCAGAACACAATACGATGCAAAGTGCTGAGGTGAGCAACATTGAGTAGCTTGCCTGCAGCATGTGAAGCGTTCCAGCACCTCCTCTGGCCAGTCACCATCGCAGTGTCCATTCCAGCGCTTGGTAGTGAAGTGGCTTCCCAAGTCCTGAGCCCCAAGGCTCTTGGGTTTAGGAGTTTAGGGTCCCCTTTTCAAGAAATCCCCGGCAGGGGCCTGGCCTCGCAGATCTTCTCTGCTTCACAAGCCAGGCCTCTCCGAGAGCTCCGAGGGCTCCAAAGGTTTCAGAAAGATTGCTCTCGCGAGAGTCTTCACTACGATACCCCTTCTTGGAATGGTCTGATCCTTACCTCACTGCAACGTTGCTTGCATCTTCTTCCATTTACTTCTTGGATGCAAACCTAACACGGCTGCATCAAAGCTTGAATGAAACGATATCGATCGGTCCCATGCATTTCTCACCACTCGGCCTTGGCACTGAAGGCTGTAGTCAACGGGACATTCTAACGGGTATTCGCAAATCTCGTAGCCATCTGTAATGCCTGCCGTGGCCAACACTCTGCCCAGCACACTCCGAGAACTGCATCGCTTGCACACGGTTGCGACAGAAAGGCCGAGATGCAAAACTCTCCACCCCGCATCGGCAGTACGAAATCGCTGTCGGAGGCTGGGGCAGCTGTTGGAGTTGCACCTCCAACGCATGCTTGACACGAGGACATCATCGGAACCATCCGACAGCCCGCTGCGCCTTGCTGCGAGGTTGTCGCCACCGCAGCGTCCACTGGCGTGGTGCTTACTATTGCTGGGAGAGTGACGGATGGCACCTGCCACGTTGCTTTGCTGTAACGCTTAGCTTTGATGAATCATTCATGAATCGCCCTAGCGGCCCCAACTCGGGAATTCGTCCGAAAACCTGCACCTAGTCTGCACCCTGAGCACTGAGCCCTGGTCGCAACGACTCTGTGAGACACAGCCAAATGCGCTGGAGGCATCTCGCGCCTGGCTTGTAGAGCCTTGCCGGGGAGCTTGTGGGCTCGACACAAGGACCCGTAAACGCACCTCCCCTGGTCTCCACGCAGGTCTTGCAGAGGGTCTGGTCTTGCGCGTAGAGATCTCGGTGCTCGGGCAAGGGATGGAAGTGACTGAAACAAGTACGCTCGAAACCATCCGTCGAATAGTCTAAGCTCCCTTCCAACGCACTCCTGCGACATGTATATGACCTCGCCTCAGTTGTCGTCCAGCAGGGATTTGTAGTTCATCTTAAGCATCTCCACCCTGGTTATGACCGTAGATGCAGTCCTGCTGCTGGCAATGTAGCTGGAGCCCAATCCATCACAGGCAGTCGCCCCGCACAAGGAGATCGGGGAGGAAAGCTCAAAACCATCTGGGCAGGACAGCTCGTCCTTGCAACCTGCAGCAAGCCCTGGAGAGAAGACACTCTTCATGTCAATGGCGCCAGTGGGATTGCAACAGCCTGGAGACTGAGCAGGAAGCATGCGGCCGCCAACGAGGTGGGGCAGTCATCGCTCGTTCGATGGCAGGAAAGGCCCTGCAGAAAACAAAGGGGAATGACATTGACTAACTGTGAGAGCAAAAAACACTAGTAACGAAATCGTTAACAACATGTCGAAATTTTGCTTTGTCATCACTGGCTTCAGCTAGGCGCCCGACAGACGAGGCTGGAGAATGCGTAGAAGAAACGGGCTGCAAAGCGACACACTGGCAGCACTCGTACCTTTAAGGGACATGCTGCAGCCGCACAGTGGGTTTGATCCTTGAGGGTGGATGTCTGCGCGCCTGCGCGCAACATCATCTGGCCAGTCATTGCAGCGGCCATCCCATTCCGCGGGTCTAAAGTTGACACCTCTGTCAATCGTGCATCAAGCACCTTACCTCAAGAAGCGTCCTCAAACCACAGAAAAAAAGATCAGACATCGCGCTACACAGTCTTTCAAGTTCGACACAATGAATTTTACCAAATTCACATTCAGCACATCCATGTACACCAGCAAAAGCAACGGCACCTAAATCTCCACACACCTGTTCAGAGGCGTTGCAGCCAATCTCCTGACATTCCTCGGTTTGGCACGACTCGCGCATCCAAACAATCATGAGAGGAAGCTGCTACAAAACATGGGGCTGACAGCTGCTTCGTTCTGCCAAATGCTCCAGTTCAAACCATCTCGGGCAGCTCAGCTCATAGTGGCATATGGCGCCATGCATGCCTCGTCTTGCATGACATGCAGAAAAAGTTTGAAAAACAAGCCTGTGCACAACTGAGCACAGAGCATTTTTCGGAGGTCGTGACCTCGAACACGTATCAGGTTCGGCAACGACTTTGAAAGCACGCCTACCACTACTGCAACGTTGCAAAGGCTACAACCACTGACCACCGCCAATACTATACTCATACTCCTACTCCTACTCCTCTCCCACTACACCAACTACCAGTCAGACTGCCTCTACCACTAACACCATCACCACCACCACCACCACTGCCACCGCCACCGGGACCTCCTCCTGCTGTCGCTCTTACTCTTGCTCCTCCTGGTTCGCTTCTCCCTCTCGCAGCTGGTCAGCATCATTTTGCCAGAGCGGGTTCTGCAGAATGACTCAATCACTGTTGATCAATGCTGTCAAGCTGCTGGTGCGACCACGACGGTTTCGCCGGTCGTGTGTACCAGCAAAAGTGTCACAACGACCGCTGCAGCCTTAGTGAGCACAATCTTATTGGGCCTGTCGTAGACGACACTTGTGGCGATGGTGGTGGTCATGAAGATGACGATGATGATGATGATGATGATGATGACCGTGGTGATGTTGTTGATGATGATGCTGAGGATGATGGCCATGATGAGGAAGACGGCGATGATGATGATGATGATGACGCTGATTATGACGATGATGATGATGATGATGATGATTGGTGGTGACAGTGGTGGTGGCGGTGGCGGCGGTCGTGGCGGCGGTGGTGGCAGTGGTGGTGGGGCGGTGGTACTGGTGATGGTTGTAGGCGGCGGGTGGTGGCGGTGGTGGTGATGGGGTTTAGGGATGAGGCATCTGGTGTAGGCAGCCCATGAATTATACCATGATGCCGTTGCCACTGCAGGCTTTTGACCCCCTGCATTGCAAGACACAAATGCGACAGAGCAGCTGCCATACTCAGCGCTTGTCCCCGGTAGCACCAGAGCCACATAAATGGCTTCAGATCTTGGGGGTGAGCAAAGAACGCAGTGCACCGCACATGTCAACCTGCAACTACCAGTAACTACCATGAAGGCAAACAATGGCATGCCTCGGCCAGCCCGTCGCAGTCCAAGCCTGGCATGCTGGCATCGCCGAGAGTCCGCTTCTTACGTTTGCGCTGAGTCTGTCAGGCTTGCCGGCTCGACCCATGGAAAAGTTCCCTGCTGCAGCCAGGCATTGCCAAATCACCGTCGTGCCCGCCTTCAGAACTCGGAATGCCAGCTCTCTGCCTTGTCTCAGGCTGCCTTCATCAGGCCGGTCCCCAGGATCCTCGTCTGAGCCACCTCCACCGGCTTGGAATCCTTTCTAGAACCTGAAAAGGCGCATTCTGAGATCAAACCCTACAACCCTAGGATCCCAGCGCCTTGCATCGACCAACAGCGGTGTTCCGCCGTGAGGTTCCAAACCTGGCAGCCGCGCGCATGGGCCCTCGAAGCAGATCGCAAAGCCTTTAAGGGCTTCATAGTCTGTCAGAGGCACGGGCACCCGAGCAGGCCGTAGCTGCAGAAGCCGTCTTGCCCCTGAAGCTGTCTCTACCAAAAAGCACACTCGGGATCGGCCCCTCTTGGCCTCTGCCGGGAAGATAGAAGGGAGGCCACTCGTGCAGAAGCATCACTTCCATGCAACCAGCGGCTGCTGCGCAGGACGGGGCCCTGCACCTGCGTTGGGCTTCCAGAACTGTCTGCCGGTCCGAGGTCCCTCACTGCCTGGAAGAAGAACCGCAGCGGATCTGGTATCCAAATCCTACAGCGAAGACACTGGCAACACAGTAGAGAACAGTAGAAGGACCTCGCTCCTGCTAGGACTAAGGACCTTCCATGGACGGCTGCTATACCATCTAAGCCTTGTGCGCCAGCTCGGGCCAGTCTTCGACAAAGTCCATGCGCAGTGCCTGCATTCTGGGCAAGCTTTTTTCACGGCTGCGAAAAGCAGATGTTCGCGCGCACACACAGACACACACTGACTGACACTGACACTGCGGGCCTGCCAGTCGGGCAAGCTCCCGTACGAGGGCGGGGGCAGAATCTGCATCACGGACATAGAGAAGAGATGAAGCAAGTTGAAGGCGAAGAAGCGCAGAGGCGAGTCCCAGGTGCCCTGCCTGGCCCAGGTCGACGCAGCCCAGGAGAGCTGACCTCGATCTAGCTTGCTTTGCGATGGCCACGCCCAATACCCCCGAAAGCGCAGCTCGGAGTCGGTCAGGCAGACGTACGTGGCGTGCGCAGCCTCTGTCCCCTTGGGGAAATCCCCGCTCAGCAGCTGGCCTCGCCAGCAGAGCTCAGGGCTGAGGATGTCGAGATACTCCAATAGGACGATAGGACTGAGAATATTCTCAGGTTTGGCCAAGGTGCGCGTGGAGCAGACAAGGCCGAGAGATGCGACCTGAGTCAGTCAGTGCACTCAAGCAATGCAAGCTCGAAGTGGCTCACGGCAGGCAGGCTTTGCTCACATCCTAGCTAGCAACATGCTGGCCGCATGCAAAGTGTACCGCGCATTTTCATCCCTCCGGGATGTTGCCCAGGTGACTCTTGGCAGAAGCTCCTCGAAGCAGCCGATACCGAAAGGAGAACGGAGCGCAGAACCACAAAAAAACCCTAAAGGGGAGAGACAACCGTGACTACCTTGGAGCAGGACCGGCAAGAGTCTTCAGTGCAACAGTGCTCCCAGTCCTCAGTCGCCTTCGTCCGGGAAGTCGGTTGTCGACGTGGAGACGCGATCAAGGGATTCGTGGAAAAGACAGCGCGGAAGCTCCGAGTTCTGGAGAAGCACAGGGGATCTGGACATGACAGCGTGAGTCTTAACTCGAGTCCTCGGAAAGCTCCACATGCCATGCAAGGTGGCTGCCATCGAAGTCCAGCGAGGTCTGTAGCCTTCAAGGTCTGTACCAATCACAGCGGCAGCTGCATCTGAAAAGGCACGCACAGCAGCCACTGAGAGGGTGGCCGAACATCTTGGGGCTTTTCAGGTGCTGGTGAAGCACATGCCTTTGAAGCGGCCACATGGACACAATGCACTAACTCATTGGACTCTGCAGCTGCCTTGGTCTGCGCATCCTTTGGCTCAGTGACGAATTCTGAGGGTACCTGTGCAGCATGGCCAACCAGCCTCACCCTCTTCCATCCTGCCTGCGCCAACGAGCCGCCTGTGCTCTTCTCCGCAAAGCTCGCTCAAGAGCTGACATCCTGCCAGTAAGGTCCTGCGCAAACTTGAAGCACGAGAATGGTGCAAACGCAAGAGGCATCCAGCCTACATAGCAGATGTAAGAGCGACGAACATACCGACACAGGTCCACAAAAGAACCCATCAGCCTCCATCTTCCCTTGCGCTGCTGACAAAGCGTTGGTCATCTCGCCGGTAACCTGCGAGTGATCGCAGGCATGGCAATCAAAGATCTAGAATCTAGAAAGCAAGCAGCAAGTCACTGCACTGCCAACGCCTGTCGCGCTGAGCTCATGGCCTCGATCACTGACATGGCAGCTTCCGAAGCAAAGCCGCTCTGCAGACTCGCAAGTTAGACCATACTCAGATTCACACATCCACACACCTGCTTGCTGTTTCGACAGCCGCGAGCAGCGCAGCTCCGCATGCCTTTGCACGACATGGCATGTTGCTGATCCTTATGGCACTTCCGGCGATGCCTCTCCGGAGGTTTCCGGTTCTGTCAACCTCGGCCCACATCTGCGCCTACATACGCACCCCACGTCTGTGACACATCTTGCTGCAGCCGGAGGACCCAAACGAAGAGCTCGGAGCCTAGAGCAAGAGCATAATGCAGCGCTGCAGTGCGCTGCGCGGCTTGGGCAGACTTGGCCGCCGGCTTCTGGTCGACTCGGAGGTCTTTCCGGCATGTCCGGTACAGCACCCGCTTCCCTAACACGCTCCCACAGCGAAGGCTGCCAGTCGCGAGAATCCTCTGTTGGGTCTCGAACCTTAGTAATTGACTCTCCATGCATGCCCTTGTGCGGTCTTGCAGCCCTCAGATCAATCATGAAGATGTGCTGACTTGATTTTTTGATTTGGTAGTGGTAGTGGTACTGGTAGTGGTAGTGGTAGTGGCAGTGGTGATAGTAGTAGTAGTAGTAGTAGTAGTAGTAGTAGCAGTAGTAGTGGTAGTAGTGGTAGTGGAAGTAGTAGTAGTAGTAGTAGTAGTAGTAGCAGCAGAAGTAGTAGTAGTAGTAGTAGTAGTAGTAGGCGCCCCCCCCCCTACCAACTACACTTGCTCTCATGTTAAGACAACGTCCATTTTACTCGGTATTTACAGCACTTTCGTCATGTCCGATCATCATAACAGGCCTCAAAATCGACTTGTCGAGTTTGTAAACTCGGGCTCTTGATTTTGGACTTGATTCTTGGGGGGGGGCGGGCTTGGGGGGGTGGGGGGGGATGTTGA